AATGCCGATCTTAAATCCACATCCATCAATATCCATCAGGCTAAACAGTGTAAGTGACAATATAAACAATGGTGTAGATAGTAGTATGAGCGGCAGTAATAGCACGTTATCGCCTACTAATCCAAATGCGATGTACGATGTGGATGTACCGTGTACCTCTGGAAATATCAACTTGCCGTCGACATCAGCAGCCATACCATCTACATCAAGAGAAATGTCGGTCATACCATCTACATCGAGAGAAATGCCGGCCATACCATCTACATCGAGAGAAATGCCGGCTATACCGTCTACATCGAGAGAAATGTCGGCCATACCATCGACATCAAGAGGATTGCCGTCTAGACATCAACCATACACTTCCAGAATCGCGCATGGAAGAAGAAGTCCCTACGAGTGGATGAAGAGATCATCGTACCAAAGTCAACCGAAGCCAGGTCAGTGTAATTGTCATTTAAAATTTATTGATTAACAAAGATCATTTCGACTCTTACAACTTTTTTATATCTAGTCTTGAATAATGATGTCAATTTATCTAATAATAGAATTATCTTTGTGTGAGATTCGTTGAAATGTGTTAGAAATTGGCAAGATTATTATAACAACATTAAAATAATAAAATAATAAAATAATAGAGCACATCAAAATTATGATAAAAATATTTTCCTTACAGAACACATATAACATGATAACACAAGTATTAAAGCAAAATTAATTGGACAAATATTAATTTAAATTTGCATTTGCATTATTAATATAGATATCAAAAATATTTATTATTTCTTAAAACATGATAGATAACACGTTCCAAGCAAGAAAAAAATTGCCATTTTTTATTTCATGAAATTTATCTTAATATGCATTATAAATAAATTTAATTCAACGCGTGAATATTAGATCACACGCACCGTCGGAAACATTTTATGCTCGATTCGTCGCTCCCTAGTCCCACTTAATTTTTATCTTATCTTGCATATTTGACTAGATGTAACACAACGCAATTTGTAGTGGAAATTATCATAGATCAGATTTTTTTATTTTAATTGACCGACGAAAACAGTTATATCGCTTACAATATACAGTATTTCATTAATCGTGTTGAGAGAAAAATTTCATGTCATTTCATTTCAACCTTGAATTCACATATACATTTTTTCAAATTATAGACTTTGTTATATATTTAATATCCGAATAAACTGTCAAAAATATAAACATTTCTTGTTCGGAATATTTTAGCGAAAAAAGTAAATGAATAGAATTATAAATATCAAATAAAAATAATGTTAATTAGTATCGAGAGCCTAACACAATAATTTCTTTTTCTCTATTATTATTTGCTATCTAAAACAAACTATGTAAAATTGCATTAAAAAATAATTACTGTAATGGTATTAAAAAAACCAATAATTATTAATAATACGTAACGCAGTCATGAGTTCGCAAAGTTTGCGGATATTTAAAATTTTCAACTTTTATTTTCATTAATCTCAGACGTGCGGTTTTCAGAAATCGACGTTTGACGAAATTATGATATGATAACTATTGAATCATTTTCTTCAAAGATTTTTCGGCAACGTTTATTTATAATTTAAACGTCCTTCTATAGTCGTATACAATAAAGCCGTATTTACTATGAAACATATTGTATATAGGATTAAAGCCATGATATTACACGTACCATCGCAACACGATGATATCTGATCAAGTCAGATGAGAAAACGAAAAACAAAAGATCTATCCCCTATGTTATCAAGGATTATAGCCAATAATGCAATTCATTCTCTTAGCACCGTACATATCTATTACAAATTTATATCAGGATATTTAAACGTCGAATTGTAGAACGAACATTAAATTGAAACAAAGCTAAAAAAAGACGCGTCTAAAAAATGTCTAAAAAAGTAGGATATTTTTTTTCAGTAATTTTTCCCATATTTTATATAGATGCTTGGAATATATTTCCAAGAATATATATTTATTACATCTTTAAAAGAATATTGAAGATTCGTACAAATGTATTTTTTATTAGAATTTATTTTTATTAGTTAATAAAATTTTATATTGAAAAAAAACCGATTCTATAGATTGTTCAGTCGCTGCGAGAGACGCGCGAATTTTACAAATATCTTTGATAAGACTTGAAAAATGCGAATAATTAATCTTCGATTTTAAAAGATCGATTGAAAAATTGGACGATTTAAAAACCGCATAATAGAGTTTAACACGCATGTGTTAAGACGCACGTCTAACGAGAACGCCGAGAACTTCGCGCGCGATTATAAACACGTCTCGGCGGTCTAGATACGGTCAAACCATGTAAACACGGTAACAGACGAGCAAACATCTAATTGCTCTCAAATATTTGTGAGATAATCCCTCCCCTACCCTTCTCTCGTCCCCTCTCTCCCCGACCCGTCTGTCCTCTTGTCATACACCTGAATTTTTCTCCGGTTTCGAACGAAAATCCCATTCGTTCGCACGATGTCCTGAATCAACACACGCGACAAGAAAGAGTTTAACTCTTACGTAGCAAAACCCGCGTGTCTCTCGCGGCACCGTAATACTCGATTCATTCGAGTCCGGTGAATTTCTTAAGGAAGAACTCTGGGACGGATCAACTATATCAAAAGTTAATAAATCTAATATATTTCATGTATTTGACATTGCACATATACACATACAAAGCACTTTTAGTCCTTTTAAAATATAAAATTAATAAATAATTTATGAATTAAAATAGAGATTTTTATCCTGTAGAATATAATTTAACCACAAAATCGCATGAAAATAAATATTTAATTCTACAGAGCAAATCTTTACTTTAATTCATAAATTAATTATTAATTTTATATTTTGAGAAGCTAAAAATGCGCAATGTCAAATTCATGAATCTCGAAATGTATTGAACTTATTAACTTTTAACTTAATTGTGATCCAGTTCGTTCTTAATACATATATCGATAACTTCTCATACGATGAGAGAGCTGTCATGTTCATTCTTGCAGCGTGCAACGCTGCTGACAATGCGGAATCGCCTTCGCCAATTAACGAACTCTGCTGTCGACTTGAAACTCTCGGTATGAATTACAATCGAGATCAATTGTTGTGTACGATGTTACTTTGATGTTCTTTTGCATGCATTATATTGTGCATGCAAGTACTCAATGTTGTTTAGTAGAAAATTTTGTAATAAATTTGCGGAACTAGCATTATAAATTTAAATAGAAGTTCATATATACACGTAAGACGCGTCTAAAGAATGTCTGAAAAATCAGGATATATTTTTTAGTAATTTTTCTCATATTATATATATATATTAGCAATATTTCCGAGAATATATTTATTACTTTTTTTTTTTTTTTTTTCTTGAAGGAATATTAGAGAGGCTGGAGGTACTAAGGAGAACTGCGGGAGCTACAATATTCAAAGAAATGTCAAAAATGCTATTAATAGCAACGGAAAAATAAAAAATATTTCTATAAGACCTATAGATCCTGTATTTAATTATTTTTCATACACGTAATGTATCGTAATGATCAAATGATGAAAAGATTGATTAATTATAGTGACATTGATTAATAAATAATAATTAATTGTGGCTCGAGAGAATCATTTATTCGCGTGATATCTTCTGAAATTTCATCATTCATCTCATTTTTCTAGTCATCTTTAGCTCAATAAAAATTTGTCATAAGCAGCATCTGGCGACCATTTTCTTACTAAAAACTGAAATAGCCATTTGGCAATCTTTTTCCGAAGGGTTTGTTTGCACGCAACATTTGGCCGACTATCTTTCCTTTCAGAAAACTACCAATTTCTCCATCCTTTTATTCGACTGGAATTAGTATACCCGTAGGAAAAAAGATATCTCCCGATCACAGTTTCTCCCTTGAATCCTGTTGTCCTTCGGGCTCTAGAGCTATCACATTCTTTCTAGATTCGTAGATTCTTTATTTCTAATTTTCTCTTTCGTTACATCTCTCTCTCTCTTCTCTCTTATTTGCATCTTATTTGACGCGCGTGCAGCAAGTACGCGCTTTAAGTACCTTAAAACGAGCGTGCGTCCCCTGTACCTTCCAACGGCTATTATCTGCATTTTATGGTTATATTGCAGGTAGAAGCGCCGCTCGGGCAGAAGCCTCCTTTCCTCATGACAACAGTCTGCTCGCATAATACACAGAAATGCGAGGCCGTCGTACATTCTCGAGAGGAAGGCGCTTCTTCTCGTGCGCGCTTTCTCGTTCGCGAATCGCGTCGTTCCGTGAGAGCGATTCTACGATAGCAGCACGCAATTTCTACCGGTTTTATGACGCCTTTCGTCTCGCCGCGATCCCTTTATCGTATCGACTTGTGCGGTTGAAAGCACCACCGAATGGCGGACGAAAAATTTTGCCCTTTGAGGACCGGTTACTTTCTTTGAAAAAAAAATTAAATTTTTATAAAATTTATGAAAAGTATTTTTATCTAATGAAAACAAACATAGTTTGGATTAAAAATGAGTTAAACCTGTGATATTTCTTAACGCAATCAGTTACACAGAAACTAATATCACATTCATACCTTGATTTTTGATACCCTCATTTTTTTCTTCTCTTTTCTCACTAACTGCCTACAAACGGCACATTTTCCTTGTTTTCTTTTTTTACCTGGCCTAGATTGAATAAAAGAAGGTAAATGCCTATCAATAAGTGTCTTTGGATGTTCTCTTGTTCTTCTTCCAATTAATTTCGCATATTGATTAATAGTTTCTCTGCTCAATTGAACTCTGAAGTTACCAAATTGATTCCATTTCCAGAAAACTTGAAATTTTAGGAGGGAAATTAATGAAAAATATGAAAAAATACGATATCTATCGATTAAAATTGAAAATTGTATATATTTTATTAATAACTATTGTATATATATGTAAATACATGTGTGTGTAATTTACCTAAAAAAAAAATTATTATATTATCTGTGTACATGCTACTTATCTTTATATAATAGATTTTGTACTCTTAAATGTTTTGTTTATCTCTTAATTGATATAAGTACTTCGATCTCATTATCACCATCTATATCTGACCACAGAATTAATGTCTAAAAATGTTAGGCTTGCTTCCGTCGAGAGACAGTATTTGCGCATTCAATTATTACTAAAAGGAAAAAAATTACAAAAGAATATAATGATATTGCACGAAATATTATAAATGAAGAATCCTCTTGGTGGCGGAGGAAATAAAAATTATTTTAAATATATAATATATATATATATATATATATTTATACATATTTTTGCCTCTTGCCAAAGTTCGACTTTAGCTTTCTCGAGGGCGATTCAATCATAGAAAGATGTAAGGAAGAGTACAACTAACGTACATATTTTGTGCTTACAACCACGTTATTGAGAACATTCAGTGCATTGCGTTCGCGCGACGCGTCATCGAGACTCGAGTAATCGTAGGTGCTAGTCCCGATATCGGTGAGATGAAAAACGCCGACGATAATCCTTCCCGACTGACTCACACGCTCGCATGCGACCCGTGCGTGCGACGAAAAATCCCGACACGACACTCGCCCCCCTTCAAACAAGAGGCCATACAATCCGCAAACTATCTGAGGGTTGTGCCGGCGAATAGTCACTTCAGAATGTAAAAAGTTGTAACTTCGAGTCGTGCAGAGTTGTGAAAAAGTTTTCCAGAAACTAGAAATGTCGATTTTTTCCAAGTTCTTTTTTTTCGGGTGTGATATTAAAGAGAACGAATCATTCACCTTCGATGTTAAATCGTTTTATTTTAACAGTTTTCATTCTTTTTACATTTCATATATAAAAATTGTCGCATATATATTAAATATTATATTATATTTTTTGTTTGAAAATTTTGATAAATTACTTCCAAGCGCTTTGCCAGATTATATTGTTAATTTGTTTTTTATTTTTGTTGTAATCTCTAGTATCGATTTTTTACTTAGGCAGTTTGTTAAACCTTAATAGACGATACTAATAATTATTTAAATCATGAATCTCTCTAGAGAAATTTTACGCAATAAATTTATTATGTGTACACGCGCGCAAGCGCAAACATTTTTTTAGATATGTGAATTATTTCTTATTATATTGCATCGGTGAATAGTGTAGCTTCTTTCGTCTCGCGATAAAAAATTGATTCGAAATTGCAAAATTATCTTTGCGAATGTGGCGTGATGAGTGCCGTCGCTCACATACGAAGAATCTATCGCAATTAAGGCCAGTACCGCGTACAGTTTGAATTTTTTTTTTTATTCGATTACAATCTTCAACGAGATAAAGAGTCTGTCTTTTGATAAGGTTTAAGGATATTTCATGTTTGTTTACGTGCATCAAGTTGCGCGACATTTGCTCTTAACATGTCAAATATTTACACGTCTAACAATGTGCAGCACATATGACAGAAAAAAAATAAAAAAAAAAGGAAAGGAAAAATTCGAGCTACATCGTGCGATATCGTATTGACAAAACTATGGCGAACAGTGTCTAATATTTATTTTTCGTTTATCTCTCATGTGTAGCACTTTATTTATATAACAGAGATTTAAACCGATTATTACGTAATCGATTGTTAGAAAAAAAAGAAATCTGTCATAATCGGAAAAGATTTCCTTTTAGAATATTCTCTCGTTTATTATCAGATCATTCGTTTCTTGAAAATGTTATTCATAAATTTGGTATAATATTTTTTTCTTAGAGAGAAAACGATGATCTTTGTATGTATGAGCGTGTCTTTTTTTTTGACACAATTATTAATTTAATTATATTTTAATACGGCAAATAAATTATGATGGAAACAATGAGTTACATTTCGGAGCTCGGATGATTGAAAGCCGGTAGCGACGGATAAGATGTAATGATCAGTAGCGAACGCGTGTCAATTTATTATACAGCGCGCGTTCTCTCTCATACAGGATATACGGCAAAGATGTGATTCAAGCATTATCATAGATATGGAGAGCTCGAAGTGCCCGCGATAACGATCGATCTCAATCTGTGAGTAAATGAAAACTCGAAACCCGACAGTCCGTAATATATTGCTGGGTGTTACATTTGAACAGATTATACGTAGATTTAATAATAAACGCGCGCACGCCGATGGGTATCACCGAAATGTCAATGTTGCCTAACTCTGTAAATCCTCGATACTTACATTACATTTTGTGCGAAATTTTTTGCACAGTATCGTACAAATAAGATAATTCTTTCATATACGAAACGTAAAACAATGTAGATGTATAAAATTTTATCTTCTAAAAAAATGTGTGCGCTATGTAAAAGTTTTATATCTTAAAATTTATGATTTTCTGAAATGTGTGTGTGTTCATTATTTTTTATATTTAGTAAAATATGATCTTTTTTAGATAAAAAATGTAGAGAAAGTTTCGATGTGATTATGTGATGTAATATATTCTCGCATTTTTTGATTTATTGCAAAAGTTGGGATTTTATAGAATTTTCACCGTGAACACTAGGATTTAAAAAATGGACAAAAATGTATCCATTGTTTAAATTTTTTTTCTTTTTTGCCTTCTTTTTCAAAGTCTCAAGGATTTTGTTCTTTGCCGCCATATTGTTAAAGAGACAAGAGGGTACAAAGAGAAAAGCAGAAAAAAATGTGTTGGAGACAATCTGAAAAATGTTAAGTACCGATATTTCGTAAACTGACGGACAATGAGTTTGATTTTCTGTGAATACTTTTCAAATAAACATTATAAACTTCATTAGACTTTCTTTCAATAATTCATCGTTTATTCGACTCTATTATCTGTCGCTCGTGCATCCTCGTCACGAGGACATCCTCGAGGGCCGAGTTGCCAGCCATGTTGAATCCACCTGGATCCATGCCTAAGATGTGTACCGTCGAAAAGTCTATCTCTATAAGGTCGCCGCTTATTCGTGATGCCACGAAAGCCTCGGTGTCCCCTTATCGAGGAGTGGTGGATTAACGTGCACGCCTTTGATCTCGCCGGCGGGGCCTTATCTAATCGTGTCCCTCTCTCCCGAGACATCTCGCGCCGTTCCCATCTCTGTCTCTTTCATTCCTCTTTTTTTTTTCTTTCTCTCTCTCTATTCTGTATTTTGTGCGCGTGTTACCGCCATGAACGCGCCACGTCGTAAGAAACGCATTCACACCGTGCGATTGCCAACGCACTTTTTTCTTTTACCGCTTTCTGACGTAGCTTGGCGCGTCGCCATTGCCTCTTTCCTCTTCCCTAAGAAATACATAATAAGCGCTCCGCGTTACTCATCGTGAATCGTAAATGCTCTCTGTTCGTCTCTGTTCATATCATTGTTTCAGGCTACCTTTTTTATGTGCGCTTGTCTCTTTTTATATAATTACTATTACAAAAAATGTAAATTTTAATTCTCATACATATGTATATTATAGGTTGTATTTTATTTTGTTTTATTTCGTCTTGAAATATTTCTTATGTGCTTAGCGCATGATCGTTTTAAACGCAAGCTATTAACATAATAAATGTATAGTGTTACTGATATATATACTCAATTAGATTCATAATATTTGAAACTAAACTGATTGGAATGCGAGAGTAGAGTGTCATGTGAGGCAATATTAATAATTTACATTTTTTTTTTTTAAATTGCCATCTAATTAGTACTATTTTTTTCGAGTAATCGTTTTGTAAATCTGAGATAAACAATTAAAATAAATCATAATAATTGCTATGTTTATTGATATAATGAATATAAATACACTAAAGTATTAAATTAAAGCAATTTATATGCTAAAAATAATTAAGATTGGACAAGCTTATATTACATGATAAAGTTTAATATAATTTAACATAATTAATGATACTTTAATTAAATGAAATATTTCGCGTTATAACGTGATTAGAGAAAACCTTAAACGAATATTCATCAGCCTGATTTAGTAAGATCTTGAAACAACCGTTCACAATTTTAAACTATTATATTATACATATATGTAACACATGTCTACATTCAAAATTATAGAATTTACACGCAATTGTTTATCTCAGATGTAAAACTCTTTGCAGAACAGCTAAATTGCAAATTACAACTGCCTTTTACGTTACTCTTTCTTTTGACTGATATTAATTTCTTTAATTAATTCCATATAAAATTCAGCGAAGGACAATTCTTTTTGTATCTTTTTTGTATCGTCAATTATAGTCGACGCGGCTGTCGATCATAGTCGCCGATAATACTGAAAGAGTTAATCCGTCGTGAAATTAATTACGAAACTTCTCTTTGCTTGGTTAATGTCACCACGCAGTGTATGTGCTGAAAACGTTATCTCTTTAACGTATTATTGACAAGAGAATCAGTATGATAGATATTAACCGCGTAATGACGCCGGCCGTTATCTGTTCTTCTTCTTTTTTTTTCAGGAAAAACTCGCACAAAAGACAAATATCGCGTGGTTTACACCGACTATCAGAGACTGGAGCTTGAAAAAGAGTTTCATCTGAGCCATTACATCACTATCAAACGCAAAGCTGAGCTTGCTCTTCAGCTCAATCTCACGGAACGACAAGTAAGTATAAATCCCACTCAAATTAACGTTCAACCTATGTAATGTTCTCTAATAGCTTCTTTTCGCACCATTCCTGCGATATAATCCTGCGTATTAAGATTATTTTAGCAGAAATAACAGCTTTACATCACAAAATAAAAAAAAAAGAATAAGGAAAAGATAACCGCATAAAATTATCTAGAGATTTTATTATACGATCTTTATATACTTGATTAAAAACCAGAGTTAAATGCAATGAGCTAATAATTTTAAGATAAATCATACAATTTAAGAAGTTAATTATATGTGGTTATTTTATTGAATTACTGTATATGTATCGATTTTGAGCTTTTCTTTACGTTATTTTTTTAAATCTTTTTCCGTTTTTTAGCTTCATTTTTATTAAAAATTATAATAAAGAGAAATATAATTTTAAATTTGATATTTAAATGCATTTTACATTACCGCACAGTATAAATGTAGGAAAGATTGATAAAGATTAGAGTAGAGATATCTCTTAATTTCTGAAGAAGTAACAGAACAACAAAAACCGTATACAAAGCAAGAATAATGCGTTATATGTGTAAAATATGTATAAAAATATATATAGATAGGGGAGAATTGCAATACGTACCGGTCTCCTAAATCGTACCTCAATATTAGCTTATTAATGGTAAAAATGTAAAATAATTAAAATTAAATAAGAAATACAGATAAAAAATTATTAAATCTTTATACGTGTTACAAATATTTGAAAATATTTATAAATCTTTGAAAAAATCAAATACAATTAATCTAATTTTTGGACAATTTTTTTTTGATATAATTTTTAAAAATTTATATAGCTGATACTAATCTAATAATACGATTTATTCTGATTTATATTCTTTATATAAAAACAAGTTTATTGTAAAAGATCGTATATTTATTTGTGTGCGTGTGATGTACATATATTATTACAATTATTATAAAATTTAAAGCAATATTTTTATAAAACGTATCATGCTTCTTAAATCGTACCACCATAAAGTTTTTTAGATTGTACCGATACAATTTGAAAACTCATGCTTAACATATTCGCTACCACCTATCGCATCTAGCTTATCACATATAGATTACATCTACATTTATTACTGATATAAAATAATATTAACATATTAATATTAATATGTTATTTAATAATTATTTTACACATGAAATTTTTTTATTTATATCTTCAAAAGAGGATAATTACATAATAATTTATAGTTAATAATTAATTAATAATGATTAAATATTAATGAGAATTAATAATTAATTATTATTAATTAACCACAATATTATAATAATTAATAATAGTTATTAATTAATTAATAATTAAATAATAAATCTTTTTAAAGACAATTACTTATGTGCCTTGTGTTTTCTGTATTTGACTTTTACTAGCTCGTTTTTTATTGCATTTTACATAACACAGAGTATATAATATATATATATATATATAAATATCTTAATTTCTAAAGAAGTAAAATAATAACAAAACTATATATGAATATGCTATTTATATATAAAAATAAAATAATATTATACATATATTATCAGAATGAGAAAGATTGCACTTTTAATTTAATAATTAAAAAAAATGGACATTATGAATTTCTCAAATAATCATAACAACAAAATTACGGGACGATTAAATGCAATCAACGAACGAAACGATCCCCCTGAATGTTCTAGGTGAAAATCTGGTTCCAAAATCGACGCGCGAAGGAACTGAAGCAGAAGAAGAGGAGGAGGAACAATACAATTTGAAATATTAATGAGAATTAATAATTAATTATTATTAATTAATCGCAATATTATAATAATTAATTAATCGCAATATTATAATAATTAAT